ATATATATATATATATATATGTGTGTGTGTGTGTGTGTGTGTGTGTGTGTGTGTGTGTGTGTATATATATATATATGTTAGTTAATGTAAACATGTTAATGTAAGTGCTCGGATTAATGTTTGGCACTAATAAGCATCATATAAGTGTCAGGTAGTTTTCTTGTTAAGGAAAATTGATTCAAATTTAACTCATGAGTAAATAGTCCTTTATTATAGAGAGAAGGATGCAAACCAGTAAAATCAAGACAGTAAAATTGGAGGTGGCAAATGCACCTCAGTGGATTGTTGATGTTTATTTTATTTGTTGAGAAGATTGTAGAAGGGGAGCATAATTCAATGGTTAAGCTAGTTACTCATATCTCTGGCCCTCAGTTTCCTCATTTGTGAAGAAGAGGTGATAAAAGAGTTTCTTAATAAGAGTTCTATGAGTATGAAAGGAAATGATGTATGCAAAGTGCTTGGCACAAGGCCTAGCTGAGAGCAAGCATTTGCTAAATGGTGGCCATTAAAGTTGTAACCTGATTATTTTAAATTGATATCATTTATAAAGATAGCTTTTTGCCATTGCATTTCAATTCAAAGAGGAGTTAAGGAAACTTCAAATGAGAGCATTTCTAAAAACCATTAAACATTGATAAAAAAAACAACAACAACACTGCAGTACTTCGTCAAATTATGTATACTAAAGGTTAATATCACTCCATGAAAAAGGAGATCTATCTAGTAAGTTTTCTTAGTCTGTGGATCCCAGGATCTAGAAAAAAAATGAGAAACTATTTGACTAATTAAATGTATAAAGTAGGATCAATGTAACTAAACTTCCATAAACCTCCTCTTGAATTGCATCATAATATATTTTCAATACTCTTTATTGCTAAATTTTTATATTTTTGCATCTGTGTTCTTAAGTGAAATAGAATTTCTTTAACTTCCATATCTTCTTTTGGTAACAAGATAATAATTGGCTTTATATAATAAGTTAAACTCTTTTACATATTTTTCTTAGTTCTAGAATAACTTTTTAAGTGACAGTAGTATTCTGCATTCATTGAATTGTTGCAAAACTAAGTCTAGTGTTGGTTTTTAGTTATCATTTATGAATTCCATTTCTTTAACTGTTATTTGTTTAATCATAGTTTCTGTTTAAAATTGGCGTTTTCTATTTATGCACAAATACAATGATTCATTTCATCAGTTTTTCAAATTTATTACCATAAAATTACTCAAAATAGTCATTTTTAGTTTTTTCTATGTTAAACCGATCTGTATTTACTTTTTAAATATTTAATTTGAATTTATTTTCTTGATTATCCTTGTCTGAAGTTTTTCTTAGTATTTTTTCCAATTTTATTGTTATAATTGATGTACATCATTGTATTAGTTTAAGGTGTACAATATAATAATTTGATATATGTGTGTATCGTGAAACGATTACCACAATAAGCTTAGTTAAATATTCATCACCTCACATAGTTACATGTGATAGTAATTATCTCAAATTTCTGCTTGCAATTTTAGTGATTTCTATCCATATCTTAATTCCTTACTACTTATTTCTTTAGTTTTGTACCAGTTTTTTGCCAATAGAGCATTTGATTACCACATCCCAGTAGATATTGGATGGACTAACAGATTGTTAAATGTAAACAGAGAAAAAGTTTGATTCTTTATTAACTTTCATCTGAACTGCAGATTTATATTATAATCTCAAAAAGTGTACTGGTAAATAAGTGATTATATCAACTGGAAAATGTTCACAATTCTGAGGTGATTTCAAAATACTGAAACTTTTAGTCATAGCTTTGGTGATGACAGTTTTTGTTGTGCATTTTTCCAAAAGCAAATAAAAATATAACAGGTAAGGACGGCATTAGCAAAAAGCTGTAACTCGGCTTGAAGATATGTTGGTACATACATAACAAATCTTGACATTATTTGTATCATTTAGGGTAAACTTCCTTTTAAAAGCAGGTTTCTTGGCTAAAATGAAAGCTGTTGCTCTCAATGGTTTGATAACACTGAAGAGGAAAATTAAGTTGATTTCACGATTAAATGTACTTTAGTATGTACCACTTGTTGATCTCAAATTATATTTATAATTAATTTTTCATCCCTAACCCTATCTACTCCTCTATCTTTCTCCTTCTGTTTCACAGAAAAAACTATGACATCAGCATCCAAAGGAATTCTCCGCCCATTTTTAATCGTCTGCGTTATCCTGGGCTGCTTCGTGGCATGCCTTCTCATCTACATCAAGCCCACCAACAGCTGGGTCTTCAGTCCGATGGAGTCAACCAGCTCAGTGCTGAAAATGAAAAATTTCTTCACCACCAAAACTGATTACTTTAATGAAACTACTATTCTGATTTGGGTGTGGCCATTTGGGCAAACTTTTGACCTTACCTCCTGCCAAGCAATGTTCAACATCCAAGGATGCCATCTCACAACAGACCGTTCTCTGTACAACAAATCTCACGCAGTTCTGATCCATCACCGAGACATCAGTTGGGATCTGACTAATTTACCTCAGCAGGCTAGGCCACCGTTCCAGAAATGGATTTGGATGAATTTGGAATCGCCAACTCACACGCCCCAAAAGAGTGGTATTGAGCACCTGTTCAACCTGACTCTGACTTATCGCCGGGACTCAGATATCCAAGTGCCTTATGGCTTCTTGACGGTGAGCACAAACCCATTCGTGTTTGAAGTGCCAAGCAAAGAGAGGTTGGTGTGCTGGGTTGTTAGTAACTGGAACCCTGAGCATGCCAGGGTCAAGTATTACAATGAGTTAAGCAAAAGCATTGAAATCCATACTTATGGGCAAGCGTTTGGAGAATATGTGAATGATAAAGATTTAATTCCTACCATATCTACTTGCAAATTCTATCTTTCCTTCGAAAACTCAATCCACAAAGATTACATCACAGAAAAGCTCTACAATGCTTTTCTGGCTGGCTCTGTACCTGTTGTTCTGGGGCCATCTAGGGAAAACTATGAAAATTATATTCCAGCAGATTCATTTATTCATGTGGAAGATTATAACTCTCCCAGTGAGCTAGCAAAGTATTTGAAGGAAGTCGACAAAAACAAGAAGTTATACCTTAGTTACTTTAACTGGAGGAAAGATTTCACAGTAAATCTTCCACGATTTTGGGAATCACACGCATGCTTGGCTTGTGATCATGTGAAAAGGCATCAAGAATATAAATCCGTTGGCAATTTAGAGAAATGGTTTTGGAATTAGAGCTTTCCATCGCTTGTACACTTGGCAAAGTATTCCGATGCGATATCACCTAAGTTTTGAAGAAGATAAGAGACGAAATTCTGCTTTTGTGTCACAGTTTATTTTTATCACTCTTTCGGGTAACATATATTTTGATGGAGATTTTTAAGAGCTCAGAATTAGCAACCATTCCATTTGGTTTAAAATTACTCTGTATATACCTAATTATGTACACTGAAAAATAATTTATTCTTTGCTATCACTTGTAGACGTTGATTTTTCACATTTTTGTAGTTATTCATAATGTAAGTTTGTAATCCGATTGTTTTTTTTACACTGATCATCATTTAATCTATTTGGGAAATGTAGTTGCATACCTTAAAATATGTAATATTTTCACTAAATATTATAATCTCTAGTTCCAAGTTTGCATAATGTAAGAAGAGCATTTGTGATTGAATTTTAACCTCTTTGACTTCAAAGTTGAACAAAGTGTGTCATTGTCTCTACTTGACATATTTTTTGCCTGTTTACCATGTTTGTGAAGGCAGACTTATTCTGTAGTGAATAAGAAAGATAACGAAGTGGAACTGTTCTATTCAGGCAGATTCGGACTTCTCATTTATTTTCATTAAGCTGCAAATGCAGCCACTTATTCTCATGATCTTAAGTTAAATTCAGGTATTTTTAAATATCCATTTTGTTAAGATTTTTAGTACCTAGGGAAAAAATTCCTAATAACACTTACGAAAATCTAAGACCATTCTCTTCTTGATCTTTATAACACATTATAATAAAACAAATATAATTTCTTCATATAATAAAAGAAAAAGATATGTATAGCTACAAATCATATTTATAAATGGCACATTGGTGTGCAATTTTTAATAACATCAACTTAAAATATTTTTTCTCTAGCCTCAATAATTAAAAGTTTTATTTTACCATCTGGTTAAATAGACATAACATTTGAAAGAGTTTGTCTTATCGCTTAAAAGAACCTAAATAAAATTATTGTCAAGGTAGTAAATATAAAATGTGAAACATAAAAAAGTGAGGATTTATAAGATCTCAATGCATATTTGTTGAATAAATGGCATTGAAGGTCACAGGAAAAATTTTGTTTGTTTTATTGAAGTGACAGTTCTAACCTAGAGGTACTCACTGGAGATGATGTTTTATATTCCACTTAGTAATTATTCATAATATAGCACAAATGACCGTGGCCCTCAGGGATTTACAGAACCAAAATAAGCTTGTTAATATACTAAGTTTTTGGAGAATTCATCCTTGAACTTGCAGTTGCTGTATAGCATTTCTCCTCCATGAGGCTAAGGCTTAATATAAACAGAAAACGGTAAGTGAGTAAAGGTGGGATGCTAAGGATTCCCACAAAAGAATCTTTAAAGATTTTGTTCTATTCAGGCAAAATACCCATCAAAAAATTAGAATGTTCTGATGAGGTCCATCGGGGTCTATTTGTGATTTATTCTAAAAGTCCTATTACATGCTAACATCAGCACACCTTAAATCCACAATCTTCTACATCAAATGAAAGAGAAGAGAGAGGCAAATATCAATTCAGTAAAAAGTAGCTGGATTGTCCAACAATCCAGATTGCCATGTGAGGGAACAAGTTCTCTGAAGCACTAGAAGGATTTGAGAAGAGGAAATTTCCTGCATTGGATGAAAGATTGTTTGACCCTCATGATCATTTCTATAACCATGAATGAACAGGCACACTGTGTCAGGCAATGTCCTAACCAGAGATACAGATGAACAAGGTACTATCACTGTGTTGAAGGAGCATGCAATTAAGTGGAGAGGCACAGAAAAGCTTCCTTTCAGTCTGTTAATGCACATACTACTCTCAATGGAGTTTATGTGAATCACTGCTAATGTGATGAAAATAAGATAGCAAATTTCCCCAAATGTTTCTAAACTGCAAGTTTTATTTACTCAATTGAACCAATGTAGCTTCCCTCCATATCATCTCTTCTAACCACACTGACTCAGAAAATAGTATGTCTACATGGATGCTCTCCTGAATAAGGAAAGAGCTCCACTCACATTTATTTTGTAGTGTTAAAACAGTCATATTCATACATTTATATTTACTTTGTTATCTTTTGGGCCTATAAAAAGTATAGGGACCTAAAGTTGCTAACAAGTTTAGAAAGTACCTGCTTTCTTCAAAAGCAGAAAAGCATTCAGTGTAATAACAACCCACCTTTGCTGTGGTGGATTCTAATGATTTCAAAAAACTGAGAAACCTAAGGGCATTGCTTCTATTGTCCACTATGAATTTGGGCTTTTTCTTAGACTGTGACTATAACCGCAGGTTGATAATATGATCCAAGCCAAGGCAATGACACTAAGTGACCAACTGACACATCTATATATTGAAAACCTATTACCAGGTCCCAGAATAAGTTTTCAGAATTTGAAGTGCCAAAATAAATGAGTCAACTGAAGTCTTCAGTTCTGGATCTATTGATCTGTAAGTTTAAGGGCTGGAAGGAACTATAGCAATGTTTACAAACCAATCCCTTCGTTCTACTTATGGGTCAACTAGATCCAGGGATAATATTTATTCAAGACATATGTGTACACACACACACACACACACACACACACACACACACACACACACCACAGCTAGTGACATAGCCAAGATTAGAATTTAAGGGCCTATATATCTTAATCCTGTGTTCTTTTTCATAATATTTTCATTTTATCATGGAAGTATGTCTCAGTTCCTAAAAATGCAAATGTCTTATTGATATCTTAGGGTCTATAGAATGATAAATTATATGGAAGCACTTTGACTTTTGAAAAAGTATACAGTAAATTAAATATTATGCTTGTTAGCGTTATTTCTGTAAATATTTTAGGTGTTGAACTTCAGCAAGGGAAATAGGTTTTCACTATATTTTAAGTGAAATGCAGTCCTCAAGATGGTGGATGGTTCTAAATCACTCTTTTAATAAGTCCTGTGGCTCGCAATTCTTTTTAAGGATATCTCCTGGTGAATAATATCGATTTGACAAAATTGTTTTGCTGATGGTTATACAAACAAATAATTATTCCAGAAGATAAATTATGGTTATAAAGAGAGAATAGACCATTTAAAACGTTATTTCAAAATATCAAAACTCTATTACCTTCAATGTTCTGATTATTTAAACATTAGTTGTTATAGGCCTTACTAGTAAGAATACATAAATATTAATTATTACAGGCCTTATTAGTAAGAATATATACTGAATTCTCCATATCTAGCAGTATTACATTTATATTACAGTATAAGACATGATAGTCATTTTATGACAGCCATAAATTTGACAATATGAAGTAGGAACTAGAAAAAAATTATCTTTGTGGAAAACCAATATCAACTCCATTTACTGCCTAATTCCTGATAATCCTGGAATTTGCAGAAATGTTTTCTGTCTTGAGGACTTAGAAAGCTTAGAGCATGTGAGGTGAAAGAATATTTAGAAGTTATTTGCTGAGCCTTTAAATTCTTGCCTCCAAGTGGAGGTTAAATATGGAAAGAATAGGAAACTATACTATTGAAATCTTTTTGCTTGTCTGTTTTTAAACTAGATTCCATGAGCCTCAAGGTAATCATCTAGACAATGTCTTTGCATGAATTAATATTACCAAAACAAAATTTAGGTCTTTATATTATGACTTTGTGTTTAAATATATCTTTGGGTTCCCTTGAACTCTGATCTCATTTAGGGAAACTTTTTTATATATTAATTATAATCAAGCTGTTAAATATAAAAAACTGCAGGATCAAAAAGATAATCATGGTGCCTAATACAGAGGAGGATCACAACAAATATTTGTTGAATGAATAAACAAATTGGATATATTCAAAATATTTTTTTAAGTGTGATAACAGTTCCAGCTTATTGTTACCATTTAGAGATGACATTTTATATTTTTTCCTTGGTCATTTTGCTTCCTGGGTGCAAAGGAAGGCATTTTAGGTGCTTTCAGTTGTATCACATTCTAAGACCCCAAAAGAAGTAACAGTTCAAGAAAGATTATAAAGAATTTGGAATATGTTCACATTCTATTCAAATATTAACATATCCACAGTTTCTAATAGGAAATACAATTATTATTTAAGGAGAACATAAATTACAATTACTGCAAAGGGCACATATTTATTGCCAATATATACACGGAAAGAAAAATTGTTTCTTCCTAACTGCACTCCTTTTTGTTGCAAACATGGGGTCAACTAAGATTTTATTTTTTCTGGATGTCTCTCATCTAGAGATTTTGTAGCATTTTGCAAATGGGTAAGCTCTACTACTATCCAAAGTGCTCTCCCTCTCAGTAATTCATATTGAATGCATCCATATTCATAAGCATTATATAGAGCAGCTAACAGCAGATAGCCTGGTAGACCAGATATATGAATAATGCAAGCTGGGTTATTAGTTCAACAAATTGTAATTTTGAAAAAGCCACTGAACCTGTCTGCACTTTGCTGTTTATAAGGTTCCTTCTAGCACTACTTCTCTCATCTAAAATCTAAATTGATATATGCATGTATTTGCAAATGAAACTTCAATGACCATCTCAAAATAAATTTTGGGGGTAATACTACAAACAGATTTTCCTCTTATTTCTCTGAATAGACATTTAAAATATAAAATTATTTAAACTAATCAGTGGAAAGAACCTCATCCAATGCTTGGAATATAGCAAAGTGCTCAATTAACCAACCTTCCTCCTTTAACTCCTTCCTCCTCTTAGTTTCCTATCTAAGTCCTTTGCAATTCATGAGCCCACTACTCACTGAGACCTTAATGTCTGCAGAAAAACAACCATATATTGAACATTATTTTTAAATATTTTATATGTTTCTATACCATCCACATTTCTATTATAATAATCTAAAAATTTTGATTGATGCGAAAATTTCAGGGAGGCAATGAAGGCACACAGTCAATCCCCGATGACAATAAAATAAGGAGCGTCATTTAAGTAAGCCAGATTGAACACATCTAAACAATTTAGTTATTTTTAAACTCATGGTTAATATATATGTATTCATTTGATTTAGTTAGGAAATATTCTTTAAAAGAATTTTAAAAGAAACTCTCTGACACAAGCTCCCTTTTATCAGTGTTACTAAAAAACCTGATTCCTTGGTCTCCTGGCCTAGAATCACCAAAGTTATTTATAAAAAATGCTGATTTCTGGACCTTGTTCATGCAATTGGAATTTCTTCAAATAAGTCCAGAAAAAAATATGTTTTTTATGAATTTCTTAATTTTTTTCTGTTTCATGCTATCATTTATGAACCATCATAAGCCAGCAGTTCTCAAACATGCATATGTCTTCAGGACTTCCTGGATCAGCTACATAAGAATCATTTGAAAGAGGGTTACTAGTATACAGCTTCTGATTCTCTGGGTCTGAGGTCAAAGCTTTAATCTATATTTTAAAAATCTCCCCAGATAGTGCTACTGTGCTTTCAGGTTTGAGGCTTGCATCTTAGCGACCTGTTAAATGGGAAGTATTTCATGTTCAACTGATATGAGTTACAGCCTTTATTTAGTTCAGCTGAAATCTTCTCGAATATGTCACTAAAGTATACCTTTACTTCAAGAGCCAAAACATTCTCTCTGCCTAAGAATTTTGTGCATAAGCATAGTGCTGACTAATCTCTTGATGTAGATCAGGTTATTTATAGTCTCCAGATCTCCTTTTAAGTTGTGAGTGGTGTGTATATATAGCAGTATATCTCAAGCCTGGGTGCACAGCTGAGTCACCTGGAGAGGATTTAAAATTGTGGATGCCCAAGCCCCATCTCCAGAGATTTGTTCCAAATGGTTTGTGATAGGACCCAGAGGTGAACAGTTATTAAGACTCCGCAGGTGATACCAATGTGGGGCCACCTCTGGGAACCGCAAGTCTACACAAAAGAAATGAGCAGTTCTTAGCCTGGAGGAATTATTAGGAAAAGAAAAGGTTAGCTACCTTGAAAGAATATCTTTCGTTCTCTGTTTAGGTTCTAACTTCATGTTTGCATTATGT